ATAATACAGACAGAATTGTAAAAAAAAAAACGTTCCTAAAAATATCAGGAAAACTCATCACTGGTGCAATATTCACAGGAAATAATCTGCTCAAAATTAAACAGATTAGGTTTTTCCATGTAAGTACAACCAAAGATGTCACATGAGAGACAGATTTTCTTCTTCTTACTTCTCTATGTGTATGATAAGTCTTTGGACCTACAAAATGGAAAAAAATACTTTAGGCTTAAAGGCTTTAGTTAGAAGGATACCTACAAAATTACCCTTTTCTCTTATGTTTCCACAGACATGTCAGTCCAAGGTGTTTGATCTATCAGATGGAGTATCCCAGTATGCATGGTTCCCATGTCGTGAGGCCCATGTGGCTGCTTGGGGATATCCTAACTATTTTCTCAAGGTAAGACCTATCTGAAAAGGCTGATGCACAAAAATAATGTCTTCACAGGATTAAAATACATTACTGAGAAAAAAAAGTTTTATTGCTTTGTTGAGTGGTTTACATGATTAATGACCTTCTAGTTTTCTAGTCAGGATGATTTATTCTATAGGATGCCTGATTTTACTGGAAATTCATAGATAGTTTTTTTAAAAGGAATGCCCAACGATAATAATGTACACGAAATTGCCAGTGCCAGTATAATGAGATAATTAATGAGGCTAGATAGTGTTGTGGAGTTCCCTGCCCTCAGCCCATTCCATTCTGGTACAGCATGTAGTGCATTATAACACCATCACTGTGGTGACTGAGAGAGTACAACACTCTGCAACTTAGAAACTCAAGCAAATGCAGAAGTGTTAGCACATATGATGTATGAAACCTGATTCAAATGAGGAACACATTCAGTTCTGACAGTTCCAAGAGAGAGTCACATGGGCCTCACAAGTAGATTCCAGTTACTGAAAATGTGTACTTGACTTCATACTCTTTGTTTTCCTGTATTCAGGCCCACTTTTCTCATCCAATGGTGGCAGCAGCAGTGATTATACATCTTGCTGCTGATGGGACTACCTACATTGACCAGACTCAGTGTAACATCACTGTTCAGCTGGTGGACACCAAGGAGGGCATCCATAGTCTAGGTGAGAACTATATCAGAGTACTTTTAAATTTCCCACTTGATTTAACCTTGACTGCTGAATATGACAGGGTATGAGTGGAAAGCTGAGCTCAAACTAACTTTACCTACAGTAACTAACTGCCATGTTTCTACAGTAGCCCAGAATGGACAAACCAAACACTGGCCCTAGATAGGGCTTTTCGTGTTTTTTGCACGGCCACCGTAGTTTACCCTACATGCTCGGAAGGCGAGCAATATTTACTTGTTTGCAGTTTGGAACTTCATCGCTAGATGCCACTAAATCTTACACACTGGTCCTTTAAACACATGTCACTCTCATCCGTCTGTGCATTACTCTTTCAACACCAGAAAGCTATTTAGCCCTTTAGGTTTTTTGCTCTCCTAATTCACTGTCAAGGCTTGATTAACATCTGCCACTCTGTTTCCTTTCCTGTTCTCTGTTTCTGTCACCTACTTTCCTCACCCTAATCTAAATACACGCTCTTCTCCATCCCCATTACCATCTCCACAGGTGAGTGGCGTCTCAGCTGCCGCACAAACCCTTTGGTGATCCCAGTGAGCCACGACCTGTCAGTGGCGTTTTACCACACAAAGGCTATCCTGGTCATGTTTGCCTCGCGCCTTGTGGCCATCTCCGGCGTAGGCCTGCGCTCCTTCCAGTCCTTCGACCCCATCACGATAAGTGGTTGCCAGAGCAATGAGATCTACAACCCCACAGGCCAGAGGTGAGGCCCAGAAATAGGGGAAATGAAAGATTGGTGAACATGAGGCCTACATATGTTACACACACAGACATGCATATGAAATCTGAAAAGATTATGTGCAAGAATGCAGCCACACACATGCAACTTGCACAATCTTTCACCTTTAAACTTGATTTGGAATCATGTTTTTCCAGGTCTCTAAATAGGTATACATGTGATATGTAGTCAAAAACCATAGTTTATTCTGACTATTCCCACGAAAAGAGAAAGGAGAAGCATGTGCTAATGATGCCAACAAGTTGTTTAATGTTATATATATATATGGTAGTAAAACGAACATTCTATGTAACAAATATAATATTACTGAAAATTTTCAATTGATTTGGACCTGTTGCTAAGTTCCACAAATTTCCAACAATAGAGCCGCCGCTCCCTCCAGCACTAAATCTTGTTTACCACCCTAGTTTGTTTTGTATTGAGTTCGGCTGAAGTGCACGCTGCACACAAACATTCTTTTTCTTTCCAAAGTCCTGCCAAAGTGGACATGTTTTGCACTCCACAGAAGTTATTTTCTTAATTAAATAAATTACTTGTCCGTCATCGTAACAGCTGCAAACCCAGCATCTGCTCCAGGAAATAAAGATCAAATTTGAGTAAAAAGCCCTTAGCCCATAGCAGTTATTGAAGACATTTCTAAGAGCTGTTGGCAAGCCCGCTTAAAAATAATTAACACCTATTTAGCTGCAAACTCGCATTTTTTTTGTCTCCAGTAACTTTTAATTTTATTTTCTAACCGTATGATGTCAAGTCTCTCCCACAAATATAGCTAAACCAGACCACACATGCACAAGGACTCACAATTTACCAATTTCCACACCACTGTCATGCATGAGACAATTCATACTGCTGATGCTCCCACAACCCTTTCAACAAGAAATGCACTAATAAACACCACAATACACAAAGAATGGATGGTTAGGGGGTCTGTGCAGAGAGATAGAGCTGTTTGTGGCTTTTGTTGTGTGCCAGTGAGACATCCAAGAACACCTAAATAGATTAAAACTGCTGTGTATCTGCATCAGCCAGGAAATTGTTTGTTACTGCACACACAGACTAGTTGCTTTCTCCCAGAGTTCTCGCTGACTTTCATTTCTTTCAAATTCTCTCCACATCATCTAATTTCCAATGGCTCTTGAAAACTAATGTTTTTTATGATGGCGAGTCCGCCAGACCAGTTTTGACTTGGAACATGCCACAAGCTGAATATTATAATATAGTACTATGATCAGTTATTATTTACCGTTCTGTCCTTACAACATCAGTGGAGAATCCTGGCTCGGCCTCTTTGTCTTTTTATGTCATTTATCTGTTTCCTCTCTTTAATTGACTTCAGTTCATCATCTGCGTTCTGTCGTTTATAACAAACTTTCCAAATTTCTAGTCTCTCTTCTCCATTTTTATCTCCCTGTGTTTTCACTTCCTTATTCTCATTCTCTCTCCCTGCTTTTCCATATCTCCCCCCCTTCATCATATGTTATCCCATGCTGTCTTCTCATCCTTCACTTTCACGTCATCCTCCTCTCCCTCTAACTGTTTGCCATCTCCTTCTCCTTAATTCTCCCCTTTCTGTGCCTCCTGCTCCCGCTTTCACTCTCTCATTCTCCTGGGCTGTGCAGCACATTTCCCGTAATACTTATGCCTCCACGAAACACCACATCCCTTTTTCCCTGAGTTGTTAACAACAGGAGCTATTAACATGAGTCAGTTTTATGTCCCATGCTTGTCTGCAAATGCATGCACATGTATGTTTTCCCTTTTCTCTCAGTTTTTCACACCCTTTTTGTTCTTACTTTAATGTTTTTTCTCAATTTCTATGCTCATCACCCCTTTTTTTGTTCTGTTCTCCCTTGTCCATTCAGTTCTTCTTTTTGTCGTACATACTATTCTATGGTAGTGTATACTGTACTTCTCATTTACATGGGAGGTGGATAGTTTTCCAGGTAGTTAATTGTAATTTATGTCAGAAATTCCAGACTGACTAGCATAAAACCACAAAGAGATTTTGTTCCTAGCCAAAGTGTCCACAGTGGAGGCTTCTAGGCTTCTAGGCTTCTCTAGTTTGTCCTCAAAAAGCCTAGACATAAGGGACAGCTGGTCTTGTGCTTTATGAACACTTGTCACCTGCTCAGCTTAGCATCTTGTCAACACAAGACTTTTAATTATAAGCTTAGAATTTTACTAAGAGTTTATTTGGTTATACTGTTACTTGTTCTCTGTTCGGAGGGAGAGTGAGGAAGGACACAAGGAATAGGGGGATCGAAGGTTTGGATAATTAAAAATAGAGAGAAAAAGCATAGAAAAGTGAAAGCTTATGTCTGCAACAGAAGCAGTAAAACAAACGGATGAAAAGAGAAAAATAGAGATTCCATTCTCACAGGAGCAAGTTTAACAATGTTCCTCCAGACCTGTATTTTCTTACATCCTCTCTCTCCCTGTGCCCCCATACCTTCCCCTCTTTCTTTCTCTCTCTCTCTCTCCCTCTTTCTCTGTCGGCTTCATAAGGGAACCCTATACTGTCGAATGTGGACTGTTGTAAAAAGGTGCCTTGGGCATCCAAGCATTCCAAGACCATTAAATGCCTTCTCCATCAGGCTACCAACATACAGCTGTGACCAAACTCTGCCATTGTAGCCTGCACATAATATATATCCTGTCGCTCTGAATTCAAAAAGTACACTCTCCTGTGTGTGTGTGTGTGTGCGCACACAGACACCCCTTTCATGTGCATAGCAAATATGGCAATCTTTTTTCCATGTGGTTTATTGATTTGATATGTTAAGCAGTCATTGATGGATGGATGTGGTTGACTCAATGCGTAGCTTTTCTGTGAGCAAATGTGTGACGGTTTCCATGTTAGAGTGTCTGCAGTGTTATTTTATACACAAAATTTATGTTGGTTGTAACTTTAAATGTGATTTTTGGTTTCTTTCTCCTTCTCTCTCTCTTCCCCTCTCACTTTCTTTTACCAACCCCCCCACCCCACACACACACACACACACATTCTCACTTGTAGTTGTGTACACTATTCGTGCGAAGCCATTGACTGCCAGGAACCCTTAATCCGCAATGCAGAGCTCAAGTGCAGTAGCCCTGGCCGCCACTTCTACAATGGAGACCGCTGCACCATCTCCTGCAACTCTGGATACGTCCTGCAAATCCACCAGGATGACGACATCATAAAGAGCCAGGTAAACACACTACACACACAGGCAGTCAAAGAGTTCAGTGCACAAATAGGCACAAGGATGCATAAATGTACACATGCAAACACTTAAGTGCAAAAGCATTTCTGCAGCATATGGGAGAATGCGTGCAAACATGAATTTGTGAATGCACAGATGAAGATGCATTGATGCACACTCGCTCACACTCAAGTACACAAATGGCCATAAGAGGGAAGTGCAAACATGCTTTTCTCCTCTCTGTCTCTGCATTTATTTTGTCACCTGCAAAAACTAGGCTTGGCACGGCAAGCCTCCAGGGACAATGACATCATGAACATCCAGGTAGATGAGTGCTACACTGAGGAGTGGAGACGCCCCTCCTGCTGGCTTGATACACATATACAAACGCCCGTGCGCACACACACACACACACACACGCGCGTGCGTGCGCGCGCACACACACACACACACACAGAGCACATTTTCTGTACAAGCACAGACATAATAGTGTTTAGTCTCTTGCTGAGCATACTGCACCATCACCTCAAACAGTCACTTTGTACCGCTACTCCACCGGGACGATGACATCATCGCATAGTGTCTGCTCCCTCTCCCTCCCTCGCTCCATCCCTGCTCATTCCGCACACATTGAAGTCTCTTTTAAAGGGCAGAGATTTGCTACCGCTCTCACACAGCAGCACACATTAACTGCTTCCATGTAGATACCAACACACATACAGCAAAGTACAGGCAATCTCCTGCATAAACAGGACACAGATGCGGACAGCTAACAGTATACACACAGATGCATGCACACCACAAGTAAACAAACAAACAAGGTAGTTGACACCACATCGTAAACCTTTTGGATTAGGGCCAAACTGCTGTAAAGGCCATATAAACGCTTTATCCTTCTCCACGGCTCTGTAAAGCAGTCTGCAAGACAATCTATTAATGCTCCCTCAGAGAGATGGGCGGTTCAGAGAACAAGGTAAATTTTGTTTTTGTGTGTATTTCAGTCTGGAACTGTAAATGTGGAAGTGTTTGTGTGTGAGGGTGAATTGGAGTAACGGACAAAAACATTTACAAAAAGACCCAGAGAGGAGAAAGTAAAAGAGAGTGGGGAATAATGAGTCTTTCTTGGTATTTGGTCATGATTCTGACCTTAACAATGTGTTATTTCTCCTATCTTTCACATAGCTGTTGCTGGGATCTGTAACTCGTCATAATTAGAGGGTTTTTATAACTGCAAAGTCGTTTAGCTGTTCCTCTGTCCACTACATGGCTTTCTTCACACATGCACATGTATACTGTATTTGCACACAGAAAGTATGGGTGTACATGCACGGAAGCACATTTACATCCACATCTATACATACTGTATGTACAAACACTATCGAAATAGTTCTGCATTGAGTCTGCACAGACCTATAATTGCATTAGATTTTGATTGACAGTGCACTATGTGGCTATTCATCAATGTCCTTTTCAGAGAGGGAGAGGCAGGAAAGTACAGAGAATGTGGGGGACAGGAGAGAATAGAAAAAGAAAGTAGGGCTGTGCCAAATATCATTTTTTTAAACTTTGTCACAAATGATGACTGACAGTTCAAAGGTATTTGGAGGACCTGTTATCTATGAATAACTTTTGGCAATCATTCACTTCGCTAAAAGACATCTGGTCTGTTTTGTTGGTTTAATATTAAATTAGCATTTTGCTGTTGTTTCTAACTAACAGCACTTTGCAGAATTAGATATATTTCTTGTGAAATTAAGATTAATTTCCTAATTGGATACCAAGATATTGAATGTTTTTAGATGTGATAAAATAGTACCTGTGACCATAACTGTGCGAAATGGCCCATGCCATGCTTGTGTATATATATATATATACATTATATATATAATGATATATATACATATATAAATATTATTATATATAGTATACTAATATATTATACTATATATATATATATATACATAAGTCCTTCCTCCCTAAGTCCTGAAATATTTTTAAGCTCAGCCATGTAATGTCAGCAAGGACAAATAAATCACTATGCGCAGTTGACATGCCACTGTTAAAAAAAATTATGCTGCATACTAGATGTGCAGACTGAATGATGTTTATAATTACCATAACAGAATCCAATCCTCTTTTAACTCACCCTGTCTGCCATAGCACGAGTGCCTTATATTACTAGCTTGTTGATCCATTTCAAGTCCAGTCTTTTATCCTCAAAGAGTGAAACAATTTGCTGGGAAATGATTTCACCAGTTGCGCATCCCTCCAGGGGCAGTAGAAGTCTCCTCCCAAAAGCCTTTGTAAGTTGGAACGCAGAAACAGTCTCACTGCGAACAAACACATGGGCACCATTCAGTATAAAGTTTGATTTGTTTGTCCGATCACTTAAATTGTCATTTTTGACAAGTGCTTTTCTTTGTTTTGAAAGTAGCATGCATATTTTTGATACAGGTTTCATTGCTAGCTGCGGAATCCAGCGGGGACAGCTGTATGTTGTTTCTTTGAGCAGCGGCACAGCTGTTCAACTGTACGACTACAGGACAGAATCTGACAAACAGGACAATAGAGATTTGAAAGAAACACAGGCCGCATCCATTTGAGATCAAATGTACTCTAATAAAGGAAATGTGCTTAATGTCAATTAGTTACAGGAATTAGTAAAAGGGGCAGTAATAAATCAATTTAACCAGGTTCACAGAGTACATCTGTTCTCATCTTCCCCTCAGATGTGGTGACAGTCGAAAATTGAATATAAAAAGTGAATTTGAAGTTAAACAACAAAAATGTAACAAAATAAAACAGAAAAAACTTGGCCCTTAGATTTTGCTTATCCCCTCAGTGTACATCTCTTAATTCATTTATTTCCTTCTTTTTTCAGCCACACAAGTACTTATGAAGACACACACACGCGTGAAGCACAATCTTGTCTCCTTTCATTAGCCAATTACATTCTTGTTTCATGGATGTCAAAGTGGTTTGGGGAACACCACTTTCTTAGATAATGTTATCCTCAGAAACAAATCTGTTTTCCTCACTTGCTTGGTTTGTATTTGTGTGTTTTATTGCTGTCTGTTTTCCCTATCTTTCTCTCTCTTTGAAGTGGTTAGGGAACATGGACTGCTGGAATTGAAAAAGCCAGTTTTATTTCATAGACTTCTCCTATAACAGGCTCTTTATGCTTTACCACTGTCCATCATAGCACATCAAACAAGACCATCAAACCACCATTACCTGCCCACTGTAGGATCGCCTAGCCACTTTTTTTAAACGCCTAATAGATTCTCTACAGGTATCGTCAAATTGATGACGAAAAACACATTTAGAAATAACCCTGGCTATAACATGAGCCATTATAATAGATAAATGATAGGCCTATTAAGAACCATATCAACCACGGGGTAAAGTATGGATGTTCTCATGCATGGTGTTTCTGTGGAAAGAGGATATGCATGTAAAGTACTGTATTAGAAGTACTTTTGCCTTTGACCTTCATCGAGGCACTGGGCTGAGAGCTGGATTTGATCCAGAGGTGCTGCGCTGAAGCTAGTAAGGATGGGTCGAATGCAGAGGACGAATATCACCATGGTTATTAATAAAGTATACGTTAAATGCATTCAAAGAACTTATCCCAGGCTAACATCCATTTAGCTTAGTGTATGTGCAGTAGGTTATGTATTGGTAGCTCCCTAACAAGAATGTTGTGGAGTGTCGTTTTCTGCTTTGGTACTGTTTAAAAGCATTGGAAACAAACCTAAAAAATACCCAGAAGTCAATAAGCTTCTCATTACGAATGATGGTGTTTTTGGTTTTGGTTATTTTACATGATAGATGGTGTCACACTTCCATGCACCAATTAGAGTTTTTCTTATGTTGCCAGGGCACTGTCAATCAAATCTAATCCAGTCACACCCACACAGTCCAGATGAAGCAGATACGTTTTTGATCTCTTTGTGATCTTAAATATGATTGTTGCTGATTTAGTGAAGGCTGTGCATTGTCTCTGCATTGTTGATGTTGAGGTGGGTCAGTTGCATGGTTGGTACCAGGTAATTAGCAAGGTGCCCTCCTAATTGGATGAATACGTGGATACAAATTCCAGTGCCCTCATCTGTAATGAAGAGAGGTCAGACTTATAGAGCCCATGCCTGTACTCCATGCCCCCTAATAGAAAGTGTGTGTAAAGGAATTGCTCTCTTTTTGGAAAAAATTGTAGATGTTTATTAATGCAAACTCATACTTCTTCCACTCAAAACCAAAGCTCTCACATGGTGGTTTGTAACACAACTTGGTCTGAAATTGACTCTTTCCAGGCTAACGTGGTTATCATTTAAAAAAACTAACCCTCCCAGAATTTTATGTGCTTAGAAGCATGTGTGCTTCTTAGTACTGTTAGATTCTCAGTAACACCCAGCCGCACATTACTGTTCTGAAAACATTCTTGTCCAGAATTATTAACTGTTGATTTTTTTTTTACCAGAAAGTGTGTGTATTCCAGGCAAAAAAAAACTCACTGCTTCTAAGTAAAGCTGATTCTTCTTTCTCCAAAACTGTTTTATAAGGGCTTTTCCATGAGGAATAGGCAATGATAAATTATACTTAAACACATAAGCACATACAAAAAGTATAGTAATACCACACAGTTGCACATACGTGTAGATTGGCACAGTTGTTATAGTATTACTTAGTAGTGGAATTGTGTACCATCCAAGCTAAGGTAAACCCCTAAGTTGAAGGAAAAGGCTGTCAGTCCATTTGTCTGTTAGTCTGTCTGGCTTGAATTAGGTAGAGTAGCCAAAGGTTGTTAAAATCGCTTCTGGAAGAGAAATAGTCAGCTGTAAATTTTTAAAAGGAAGGAAAATTCCCACATATTTACACACACACACAGTACATACAGACACATAACCCTATATACACTCATACACTTGGGGATATATGCTTGATTAAATGCGAAAACAGCTCATGGCAGATGTACGTCGATGTTAAATGTGTTCCTGTGTGTGTTTGTGTGCTTCTGTGTGTTCACGTGCATACACTTGTCCACAGTTTTACACACACATGTTTTAGGATGGGCAAAACGTGTAACGTTAACACACACATACACAATTTCACAAACTCACTTAACATTCCGTTTGCACACATATTTACAGTCAGTGCATTAACACCGAATAGATCCTTCCACATTTCTTCCACGCAGACTTTGTTCACAACCTCCCATCATGATTGACTCATTCAAATCTACACCCAGTGATTTTTTAGCAGGAACTCACATGTGATGCATATGTTACTTTGTTGGATATCCAAATATGAAAGGAGCTCATTTATTTAGAGGGAACCTGATACTGTTATGCAGTATAATATAATGGGATCAAGATGAAAGATAGAAATACATGGAAAGAGAGAGAAGGTTATGAAGCAATAGATACGTAATGCTAACTGAGTCCAGCTTGTGTGGCCTTCATGTTTGGCTACTCTTAAAAAAGATGTGTGTAATTAGAGTTAACCAAAACAGGGGTAGAATGTAACTCATGGTAAAACACAGGTTTCCCTTTTATTTTTTGTTCTGAGGAGGAAAGTCAAAATGATTGAGCTCTCACAGCTTTGTTGTGAGATTTCTTGGCACCGCTATCAATTTAAGCATTCTTGTTGCGTTACATGGTGCTATTTAATGGAAGAGGATGAAAACAGTTGAGGTTTGGATGAGGCACTGGCTCCTCATTTTGGTCTCATCTCTGCAAATATCATACCACAAGCCAAATAATTTACAGGAATCAGGCTAATAGGAAATAGACCTAAGATCAGGAAAAAAAAAGTTCAGGAACAAGAGATTGCCATTTTGAAATGTAATGTTTTGTAAACATTCTGGTTGCCACTGCTGTTTCCAGGAACTCATATAGCAGCAAATGCTAGGTCCTTAATGCTATATTCTTTGCACAATCTCATCACTCTTGATCAGGAATGGTTACACACTGATATGTGTACAGGGTGTATAAACACAAGTTTATACACAGACACACAATGAATGCAAGACATGTGGCTAGTCTGTCAGACCTTGCCAGGTCATAGCTCCTGAATGGCTGCTGTTTCTAATCAAGGGCTATTCTTTATGATAGTTCCATAACGGGAATGGAAAGGATGTTAATCTATTATACTAGGTCTTAAATTGTGCTGTAAGACTTGAGCTTGTCTTTGTTTGTCATAGTAGAGTGGTGTTACCAATGTTGGGTTTGACTCCTGGCCTGAGTTCATTTCTTGCGGATTTTTCATGTTCTCCCCATGTGTGGATTTCCTCTGGGTTCTCCAGTTTCCTCCCACATTCCAACAACATGTAAGGGCCCAATCGCACAGGATACACTCTGTAGGCTTGAAAATGTCAGGCAGCCTGCCTTGACTTTGAGAAACTTGCAATGAAAGAAAAACAGGAAAAGTTGCAAAATTGCATAGTTGACTACTGTTAACCACTAAGCCATGAAGCATTGTTAATGACATTAGCTAGCTTAACAAAGAAAAAAATGCACCCATGGCACTAATTTTTCTATGAAGTTAGTGTGTTTCATTTTACCCTGTTTTAGCAAAAGGCACCTGTCATTTTTCCCCTCAATTTTCTTTGTTTCCCACCTAACAGCGAAAGAGATTGATTGCATAGCATTACCTGAATGTGATTTCTGTTGGGTGTAGTAAAGGTCATATGTCAAAATATATAACCATAACTTCTTTTTTGTATCATGATTACTCAGAAACCCACACGTTGGTGTTCCAGTTGTGGAAGATTCCACCTCTGTGTATATGTGTTTCTCAGAAGTTGTCACACTTCCACCAAAGTCAGTCTGTTTTGTGTTAGGGCTGATTGTGCAGTTGTTGGATATCAGTTGTCGGAGTGGCATGACCTTACAAATGCTATCAGCAGTTACTTGAGCTGCTGGGTATAGCCTGGGAGGCTTACTGACATACAGTAAACTAAGCCTGATCGAGCTTTGTTAGGTTACACAATGATTAGAGAATGATTGCTGAATTGCTGTAGTCATTTTTTGTGAGGTAAACATTTATAGGATGTGTGTGGGACATCAATCTGTCGCAAATTAATGCTAGTGTCAACGCGTACCTATACATATGGCCAACTCCAAAATAGGTCTAATCTATTTATTTGTCCCTATCTGACATTCATTCAAGATACCTTGTCTTATTTTCCAGTCGGACTCTTCAGTGACTATAACCTGTGCAAATGGGAAGTGGAACAAACAGGTGTCCTGTGAGCCTGTGGACTGTGGTCTACCAGATAAATACCATGTTCATCCTGCCCATTTCAAATTCCCTGAAGGCACTACCTACGGCAAGAAGAGCACCTTTCAGTGTCGAGAACCTGCCCAGCTCGTAGGTGAGATGCATAGTCGAGCAGTAACGGCACGTTTCATATCCTCTTCTTCGATCTACACATTTTCATCTGTTTCTTTTTAATTTATCCTCTTTTGATTTCCTTTTTCAAATTCACTGACTAACACTGAATTGGCTTTCTTCTCCTTTTTCCTTTTTTTCCCTCAGGTACAAACAACACTCTTACCTGCCTAGAAGACGGCCTGTGGTCCTTCCCAGAGGCTCTTTGTGAGCTTCGCTGCCCAGCCCCTCCTCCTGTACCTAATGCCGTGCTACAGACCAAGCGCTGCAATGAGACAGGCCTCAAAGTGGGCACACTCTGCAAGTACAAGTGCAAGCCAGGCTACCATGTCACCAACAAACCTAAGAGGTAAAGAAAGACAAATAAAAACAGTTGTTTGATTATGGTGTCCTATTGATTTTAAGGCATGAAATCAGCTCCTTTTGAAGGCAGTTTATATGAACATATAAACCTCGTCCTTTCCCTTTAGGCGCGCATTTAAGCGCCAATGCACAGAGGATGGCAGCTGGCTAGAGGGGGCATGTGAGCCAGTGACTTGTGATCCCCCACCTCCCATCTTCCACGGCTCCTATCACTGTACCGACGGCTTCCGCTTTGACAGCGTCTGCAGACTCAACTGCTCTGATCCTGCCGGTAATACTGCTATCGCCACCGCAGGAGGCTCTGCCCATACGGTGAGGCTGCTGCACGCTCCATGCAAGCAGGTCTGTCCATCTCTTTCCTCTCTGTCTATTCTTGCTTTACCTATATGTTTGTCTTCTTTTTGTCATGTGTATAAAGAGTAGACATTCTCTCCTTTTCTCCCTTCTTTGCATCCTTACTGTTTTTCACATTTATCAAGTCAGAACACGACATAGAAGTAGCGAAAGATCATCAAAATGAATACTGTATAATCCATTAGAAGCAATTGTATTTGTTGTATATTTAGCAGACCCTTCACTATGCAGTATTAGTCTACTGCATATACATTATTGCAAGCATATTCTTATCTAATACCATATAGGTATTACATGCTCATGATAGCTAATGATAAGATAAAGAATTAATGAGTAAAAAACATTTTTAACCAAATACACCCACTATCCTCGCCGTTTTATCTGATACTAATTACTTCTTACACTGCCCTCACTGTCTGAATGCTTCTCTCTCACTGCCTGTCTCTCTCCCTGTCTCCCTTAGTCCTACTCAATTTGACGCCATGCTAATTAGATTGCTATTGATTTCCAGAATAGTCCTGCTGCCACAGACTTTTGAAATGTATACACCTTTTAATCTGTTCTGCCTCTCAGGCGTTGTGGGTTGGATGCCTAATAAAAATTGGATTGTATTTCCCCCTTTGCAATGGGATGCCATCTCAATGTCCTTGGCCTGCTAGTGTTTGCGTGTCAATGTATATGTGTATGATTGTTTGTTAGTCAATATATGTGTTATTTTCAGGGCGCAGCATCCAATGTGATTCGCTGTAGGAAGGATGGAAACTGGACAGGGTCATTCCGCCTATGCCCACACAGCAAAGGCCAGTGTTCTTTACCTCAAAACCTCCATTATAGCCTACAGTACTCATGCAAGCGAGGACACGGCATAGGTCTGTATGCACAAGTTCACTGTTTCATAATAACAATTCAGTTTTCTTTCTGCTGATTACTCACAGCTTTTGTTAAGTGTGCCATTATTCTTTATTGTTTGCATTACTCATTCCTTTTCAGTTTGTCCTGTTTTTAATCATTTTAATTTGTTCTTCATTATGTGACCTAGTTCACTGAATATCACGGAAATTCATAACTGTTTGAAAGTGAAAGGGGGGGGAAGGGGGTAGGATATGTCATTTTGTCTTTGATCTAGGTGTGGTTTGTGCATACTTTACTTTTATTTGGGTTTTCTGTTTCTCTCTTTCTCACACACATGCACACAGGTGAAGAGTGCGAGCTGACATGCAGAGAGAGTAACAACGATGTGGTGATCCTCCCTAGCAACATGACAGTAGAAAGTGTACTTAAAGAGCACTGGAGGAACCCGCACAAAGTCAAGGTAAGTTTGTACGTGTTTTTGTGTTCACCTTGCAGCTCTGACAGACGCACTTCACAAAGTTCTGTGATCCACAACTCCGCTGTACGGAATTTCACGCATAGAGTCAACATCCTGGCTCCATTACCCACAATGCAAAATGCCAGCTTGTGCCTATCTTTTGTGCCCGATGCCATGCAAATTGTTTGTCTTAGAGGCATGGCAACCCTTCAAACATTTGAATTCTATTTCTTGTTGGAAGTGTGAAAATCTGCTGCCCTCTTGCATCCCTGTCCTCCATATGACATATGAACTGTCTTATTGGAAGAAAAAAAAGCTACAAGGCATCTTTGGAAAGTAAGTGTTTCCCCTACACTCACAAGCAAGTAATTGTAGCATTCAATTCCCCGTGTATTTGTCTTCACCAGAAATAACCCTGAAAGAAAAAAATAAAATAAAAAAACCTCCTGCAGAATTGTTGTGAAGCATGGGGTCCCCACTACCACTGTGGCCAAGTCTTACAACCTTATCTAATGGCTAGTCATCAGTAATTGCTGTAATTTTCTGAAATAAATCTATGACGCTCACTGGTAAATGACCTAATTTGATTTAGATATACCTCACAGCTACCGACTGTACTGATTAAGTACTGTTTGCTTAAACTGGCAGATAGCAAAACACGGAGGTTAGAGGTTACGGTGGGGGAGGTCATTACACACAGAACTGTACACCTTGTCCCTGTGGGACATGCCCCATGAGATTTTTATGAAGTTTGTGGGTGGGGTCCAAAGGCGGGAGTAGGGCTATGGTGTGCATACGAGTGTGTGTGTGTGTGTGTGTGTGTGTAGAAGGCAAAAAGTACAAGACTACACCTACTCTTCTAATTTTACTCTCCCCATTTAACTTGATTAATGTCAGTGATGTGCAATTTGTTTTTAAGTGTTTATGTCAGCTTAATGCCCTTTTAGCTGTGGAGTCAGAGAGAGATCCTACTAAATAGCATCAAGTTTTGTAACTAGAGAAGGAGAAAAGAGAAGCCACGGCCGAGTAAAGGAACACATTGTATTTCTCACTGTATTTTTTTTCCTACAACTCCTTTTGTTTTTGTTTCAGAGTCACACTGAGTCAGCAGCTTTTTGTGGTGGATGTTGGGAGAGAGGGGTGGCTCGGGCCACGTGGACATGAAATGATCTGTTTTTCATGGATTTGTGTAATTGATCTGATTTGTGCTCAGTGGTAATTTGAGACCCGAGGCTGTGTTATTGGGGGCAGTGGATAGCATAAAAGAAGTCAGAGAGGTGAGGGTGCTCGGGTGAGGGTTTCAGAGGGGTGAGTGTTTTAGACATGCACCAGGGTATGGAGGTTGGAGAAGGAAGAGTTTTTGCTGGTAGTGTACCCTTAAATATTTGTCATGTTTTGTCCTCTTTGACCTATCAATTGAGACATTACAAATAGATTGTTCCTGTCTTGATAAACGTAATGCTAAGGAGAGTCAATTTCATCACATACGCACACATATGCGCCAGCACAAGCTACTCCTTTTCCAATAGTAATCGAAAGGATTACAAACATCCCAATGATAAACAGACAGACATTTCCTTATGGCATAATCATTCAGTCATTTGTTGGACGTTTACATTTGCAGTTACACTAATAAAAAGTGTAAGGGATCCTTTATGGTCCATAAATTGGATTCTAGCAGCAGAAAAATAGATGCAACTTAAAATTAAATAAACAGCCAATGGCTAAGCAGAACAGATGCATATGGCTGAGATATAAGAAATGCATAGGGCTGTCATGAAATGTTTTTAAGAAACAAGAACGGGAAGAGGCTTCCGTGGAGGAAAAAGAAATCAATCATTATGGCTAGCAGTTGTAGTAACAGTAGGAGTGTACATCATAGCATACTTGTAAACTCCCCTCTAGGATGGGATTCTTCATACAGTGTCTAAAAGAGAATTCATGTCCCCAAATCCACTTTCTAGTTCTACTTTGCTGAGTTGGAGGTTAATGTTTCCCACCTTAATAAGTGATGTTGATTTATTGCCTTTAAACTAGTTGTATTTTGGTTCTTAGTGTGACCCACTTAGAATTCTCTCCTGCTTCCTTACCTCCACCTCCTCCTCTTCTCTTTCCTGTCCCTCTATCTCTAACGATTCTGCGCCCCCAGCACCCTCCTCCCCCTTTATCAGCAAAATTACCCTGTCGGGCTTGCTGTGGAATTAGTCATTTTCTACATGACATGACCTCGTCTGTGGTGGCGCTGAGATAGGGATCTATTTTTATGTGGTATCAGCGCCCCGGGGAGGCTTCAGAGGGTGAGGATCCTATACGTAGTGAGGGGTGAGGCCAGGCCACAATCATGGATTATCATGATTTACGGCCTTGCTGAGAGAGGAAAAAAAAGAGTGAGAGAGAAAATGAGAGAGAGGGGAAGAGAAGGAGTTTCTGGATGACATCACCATAGCAGAGCATGGGAAAAAAAGAATGAAAGTACAGAAGTTGCAAAAAGTTTCACCTCTAAGACAAAAAATTTGCTTAATCTTCCCTCATACAGGGTCTAACCATCACAACCCTCACACCAACGTACACACACCACAGATGTGCCTGCATTCTGCTACTACATCGCAGTAGTAGAACAGTTACTCCCGCAGCTCTCAGTTGTCCTCAGATGTTATGTTGTTCTTTCTCTCCACCTTCAACCCCCCATCTTTCTTTTTTGCATTGATTTGCTGACAGCACTGAAATGAAAAATACCTTAGTTTGCAGCAACAAAAGAAAAGCACGTCAACTTTGAGATATTTGGACACAGGGGGTCTGAGAAATAGACCATCTGAGGTCAGCCAGTCCTCTGCAGTGGATGGCACTTTTGATCATGCACACTACTATCCGAGTCTGGAGTCACATGGATGGTGTAAACAAAACCCTTGTCCACCTGCTGGCTCGAGTAGACTTGTGCATACAACTGCCTCTACGCCTAATACACACACACAGACACACACACAGAGTCACACAGCACAGGCACACATGCGCATCCAGAGTCATGTGAATGTATGCATTCACGTTTACATTTAGTATATGCCTGCTTGAATGCATTTGCCCATGCAGGTACACATTCTATGCACAGTGCTGCCCACCTCCCTGAGCACAAATGTTTTCTGTTGCATTTCAACGAAGAGCCCAGTGGGAGAACAGGATGGGATTCCACACATTCTGGAAAGATATTTGAGTGTCTCTCTCTCTATCTCTCTCT